TGGATATAAAATGTTACTTCTGTTCTTGCTAGGTCTTATTATATTGTTTTTATAATTTTATAATATGTTTTTACAGTTTGTTTTTACAATATATGTATATATTGCTTTGGGGATACTAATTTGCATCTGGGGGGTATATTTGAATATTTTATTGATAAGGGTATATAGGATGGATAGCTGCAATGTGAACGCCACCCTTGAAAATGTCCATGAGGACGAAACGCGTCGGGGACGAGCGTGTACGTTGCTGCTATCCTGTTCATTCCATTGTGGAGCTGCGTTAGGACCATTATCGCCTGCTGAACATTGTGAAATATACCCCTTCGTGGGTTACATGTTCTGTCCACCTTTCATTGATGTGAGTTTTTATTGTTTTTTGGGCGAAATACATTTTTAAAGATTTTATGCTATGTGCGGTATATTTGTTTCTTTATCAGTGAGCTAAAATCCCGGCTACGATCCATTTGCATGAGAAGTGAGGAGGAGACCGTTTACCGATTTCATTCAAGGTGTCGAGTGGGGAAAGAAAGAGTTTGCGGGGGGAGAGGATACACTGTTTCTTTCAATCAGTGTGAGGCATTGAGTGCACGTGTGGAGAAAAGAGAAAGAGGGTCTCTTGGAAGCCATTACTTTGTTGGGGAAAGTAGTGTCCTGTGATCACTGCAATTTGACTATTTGATTCTGGTGAGTGGGGAGCATTGTTTTTTCTTCGGAGTGGGATTATATGATTACACATAAATAATTTTTTCATCACCATTTGAACTGATCACGAGTTATCTTTGTTCTGTGAGGATTGGATGACGTTTTGTACTTTTTATATATATCTTATATGGACTTTAGTTATTTAATATTTATATAGGTATTTTGATTATCCTCAATATTAATTTATGTACACATTATTCACATTGATTGATGATTTATATTGATTGATTTGCATATTCTCAAATATTAATGATTCACACATTATCTCACATTGTTTAATATTTTTTGCACCATACTTATTTTATTTTATGTGTCCACTTGATATACGGTGGTATACACACATAGGTGTGTTTTGGGTTGTTTTATTGTCTATTTGGAAGTTTATGGGTTATATACAATTGTTTCACAATAAGGGGAATGCATATTTGGCCTCTTTGGTCATGGTGCACAGATGCGTCACTCACCTCTGCAGTGCTCACTTTGTCCCTCAACTGGCAGCCGCAGTGTGCGGAGACACCGCTCTCCGGATCTCCTGAGACCACAGACACATTCCCAGCCTTTCTCTGCTGTGGCTGTGCCTCGGAAGCATGGTTCTGTGCATCGCAGTGCATGCATTTCAGGAGCTGCACTAGTCACGGTGTCAGGGCCGTCTCCCTTGGTGGTGTCACATGCGGGGAATCCTGGTGTGACGCCTATAAGCCCCCATAGAGATCTAGCATGCACAGCAACTGAGAACATGCAAAAACTCACTTTCTCCCAGGGAACACAAGTCTTCAACAATACACTGAGCACTGCCCTAACTACACCTCTGTTTCCACAGCAACAGGGGCATTGCCTCCAGCCCTGGGCTTTAAAATCTCACAACACTACTAGCTCAGTGCTAGGTTATTCTGAAGCCCTGCTCACAGAGACCCAGCGTTTGTTCCTGCATCTTCGTCCCCTGTTCCTACATTCCTACCCCCATTTTTGGACTCCTGGCTACCTGACCCATGGACTGTTTTCTGGACTACTGATTCTGCGCTGCCTGCCCTGAACACGGAACTGCATTATTACGGCTTGTCTCACCCCTTTGGACTTTGTATTTGGACTGGTTATCTCACCTGCTTCCTGCTACTGTTATCCAGACCTGTCGCAAGGGGCTCTGCCCTGCAGTACGTGACATACGTAGCAGTGGTAGAAGGAGAATCTGCAGTAACCGGGTCCCCTGCGTTGTCTGAGCATTGAAGCGGTGATGGATTAGTACTCAGTCTTTCCCCGAAACGATGATCCAGCCGAGTAACCAGAAGAATTAACTCGTCCGGGGTGACAGGTATCCCCACAGGTGCTAGTTCGTTTATTTGTTTTATCTGTCTCTGGTATTTATCTCTACCCATCTCCATAGTTCAGTTTTTCCTTTGTGTAGCTAGCTCCCTTCTTCATTATTTTCTTGTCAGTATCTCATCCACATGTCCTTTGTTAAATGGATCACATTATGATCTTTTGGCCTAACCATTTTTCACTGTTGTAAAGATCTGCACAGGTTGGATTAAACTTTTTAACGATCTTCAAGGTGTCATCTGGATTGAGTTATTGTCTGCCAACACTACTGAGATTGGAAGTTATTGCCATATCGCCACAACTGTAAGATAGAAATCACACTTTAAATGCTTAGACTAGTGCTGGGAGGCAGAACAATCACCTACAGGGGTTCCTCCCAGGAGGGGAGATCCTTGTGCCTAGATGAGACTGTTTAACCTGACATCCTCTCAGGGCAAAACCCCAGGAGGGAAGACCCAGAACAGGAAGTGGCTCTGATATTTACTAGTTCTCCCAGCATGCCTCAGCAGGTTCCCCAGTCCCACTGATTGGCCAGACTATCAGACACTGTATCTATAACAGAGAGTTATATATCTCTCTAGCACACCCTGCTGGAGCAGGCTGTAACAGCATGTGGCAGAGAAAATACACCTTTTAGAGAAACACTACTGTTGATGTACCATTAGTCTGGACACAGTCCACTGCTAACTATAGAGTTTACAAAAAGGAATTTTTGCAAAAATTCTACTTTCCTACACAGGTAATCAGAAACTAGCTGAAGTCCACTCAGCAATCTGTCCATGTCACATGCTCGGTTATATCGGCCATTTTGTGCTGAGTTTGCATGCTAATAAGCATACATGATTGAACTTTAATGTCTGCATGCTAGTGTGAGTCTGCATGCTAGTGTGAGTCTGCACGCTAATGCGCATCTGCCAGTTAACATGACCACAGGACCGTATGCCATAATATATGCACATGCTCGAGCCTGCACTGGTCTTTTGGAATATCCTGAACCTTCCTTTCACCAGCTGCTAAGGATCCCTGTGGATTGTCAGCCTCTCAGCACACATCCTGGGAATTGCTATACAAATCTTTCACCTTTGTTCCTTCCTAATGGAGATTGACATGTAGGGAAGAGCAGGGTTGTATCCAGTCTCCTCCAGTTTTCTCCCCCTCACCATGCAACAATGGACAAGGGCAGTAGAGTTCAAGAGCAGAGCATGTAGCAGTGCCTCAAAGGCCAAACATAACCAATCCTTGGAAGTTCCATGTACAATCAGTGTATGTCATACCCTGACTGTACTTAGAGATCTGAGAGAAATGTTATGTCTGTCCCTGTAAGGCACTGCTGCCTGATGTGTGCTCTGCTTATAGGGAGATCCTGGGACACGGATCAGGATATAGCATCAGTGAGACAGAGGGCCTAGATGCAGCACTGTCCTGGCAAACCCAAGACAGTTGGCTTCTATGAACTCAGTCCACAAAAATGCAGTGTGTTGTAAACCCCCAACAGGACATAGGCACTTTGTGCATTTCTGACAGATCAGCAGGTATTTTTCTGTACTTGCAGGACCTTTGAAGAAGGAAACATTGGGACATGTGCACGTGTTGCAGAAAAGTGCAGCAAATGTTATTTTATTTTGGCCAGACATAACACTTTAATGTATGTTATGCTGTTAGGGGTAAGATATAAAAGGTTGGGATTACATTTAGAAAGTTACATTTTGTGGGTAAAGGGTTAGGGGCTTTAGTTTAGGGGGTTTAGATTTGGGGGCTTTAGATAATAAGGCTTTAAGGATTGAAGGCTTTAGGGTAAGGGGCTTTAAGATGAGGTTTTAGTTTGAGAGATGGGGCTTTGAATTTTGGCTTATGTTTGTGAGGTTTTAAGAGGAGATTTCAGGATCAGTGGTTTTAGTTTAGTGATCTTTAAGACATTATTGGTTGGGTCATTATTTTAGGGGCTTTAGTGGTTCAAGGGCTTTAGTCTAACCTTTTAACTGTCACATAAATCCTGGCTATTAAATAAGTTATCTTCAGATATTCAGATTTAATATAGAATTGATTACAGTGGCTACCTTATCACTTCTATATGTATGGTCGGTGCATTATCAGCAGAACAGTAATGAAGAGACAGGCATCCAACAATTTAGGAAATGCTGCACTTTAGGGATGGCAGTTAGCCGGCAGTGTAGGGGGTATATATTGGCCTCTGGGCAATATGACATTGTCAGCAGAATGGTAATGAGGAGGCAGCCTTGTCACATTCAAGAATCTAAAAAGAAATGATTTGGTTAAAATGCAGCATACAATATTCAGGGTAAAATCACTTTAAAAATAGAAAATGTGACTAAAAACATTACAGTGTATGTAGCTAGTTCTACAATTGTCTTACAGCTGATTATACATTTTCAAAGTTATTCAATCACTGTTTCATACAATCTCATTTTTTTATGAACACATTCAATGCTATTGAATTTAAGATTTCTGTAAAATTCTAAGACAGAGTAAGGAATGATAATAAACTCCAAGTATTGAATGCTATGCTGCACCTGTCAATAAAATGTGAATGATCTCAGAAGCATCTCAAACCAATGTCAAACTGTTGCTATTGACAGAACTCCAATGCCTGTCGACACTATGTTACAGGTCCTTAGATTGGTATGGTTGCTTGTTCCTTGCTGTCCCCACTGACCCTTATTCTCCTTAATTCTTGTTCTGGTGTCACAGAAAATAAAATAGGTCAGGGGAAATCTAAACTCAACTTGACAAACGTTGTATATGGCATTTATTGGAGTTGATCTTTAACACACATTCTAACACTTATTCCCACTAAAGTGATTACATCAAAAAATTCTCTACCTGAGAATCTTAGATATAACAGTATGTATTGTTTGTAGACATCTAATTGCTGTTATCTAACCAGAAAATCATGCTCCAAGAACAAGAAACATCAGAGATGTCACTGTTTGAATATCTTTATTGGTGCTAGGCAGGGTTACAATTACAACTTGGCGTTCACATGAATGGCAACAAATGGGTCTTCTGCTGAACCGCTAATTGTGAAGCGGGCTGAGCCAGTGCCGCTCACAGTGACCTGTGCACCAGTACAGCGGGTGCCTTCTTTCTGTCCAGAGATAACATCACAGTATGTGCCGGCAGGAAGTCCAGTGTTCAGAGTGACATCCATGTTCCTACAAGAATAAGGCAACAATTAAAATGATAATAATGTATAGGTTGCTCTGATCTATTGTCACATACAGGGTTCTTTTATCTCTTTGCTGCTTCAGCAATGAGATATTGCTATAGGGAATAACACAGCGCTAAGGGTGAGCAAGTGAATTAATCCTCATTAATGAATAAATAAAGAATGAATAAAATTAATATAAATGAAAACTATTAACAAGTGTAAATATTGATGTGATAATACTATAACTCTTACATGAATAATGAGTGATAAACCAATCACACCAAAATTCTCAGTGAATAAAACCATTCAATCTCAGTGTGACGGACTGAACCGTCACTGGTGCTGTTGGAGGAGCCTGGGGGCTAGCCTCCTTCCAACTGACTATGGACCCAGAACTATGGAGACCCCCCTCGGACTTCTTGGGGTTACAATGAACCATTCTACCAGGTTTATGTGTGGGGGGATGTACTGACGTTACACTCAGTAGTAAATCTTATACAAAAAAACGGAAACAAAAAAACGGAAACAATCAATCCAAGACATACAGTGGGGCAAAAAAGTATTTAGTCAGCCACCAATTGTGCAAGTTCTCCCACTTAAAACGATGAGAGAGACCTGTAATTGGCATCATAGGTAGACCTCAACTATGAGAGACAAAATGAGAAACAAGTGAATGAATCAACCACAGTGTAACAATCCATGAACTAAGTGTTAAATATGAGGTGATACTCTGAAACAGTCTCAAATAGAAAGTTATATCAAATGTCAGTGAAAAAATAAATTCAATGATGTACACATCAGTAGTGAGATAAACTTCTCTGTGTTCTTCTCCTTTATACCCGACAATCCCCCAAACAGTGGGTACTCACCAGATATAGTGAGTACATAAAGCCCCTGTGAATAAATGAATCCTCTGGTCCTCGATCTCACCCGCACAATTCAATCCGCTCTCCTGCCGGTACAGCCCGAACAGAAGGAGCCGTCTGTATTGGCAGGAGAACTGATTGAATTGTGCTGGTGAGCTACTGACATTTGATATAACTTTCTATTTGAGACTGTTTCAGACTATCACCTCATATTTAACACTTAGTCCATGGATTGTTACACTGTGGTTGATTCATTCACTTGCTTGAATTGATTGTTTCCGTTTTTTTGTATAAGATTTACTACTGAGATTGAATATTTTTATTCTCTGAGAATTTGGGGGTGATTATTTTGGAGAGTTATAGTATTATCACATCAATATTTACACTTGTTAATAGTTTTCATTTATATTTATTTTATTCATTCATGAGGATGAATTCACTTGCTCACCCTTGGCGCTGTGTCATTCCCTATAGATTTTAAGGTTCTTTTTTTCATAGCAGCTTTGCGGTTAATTATTTTTAGTTTTTTCCAAGAGCGCAGATCCCTATTAAATACAATGAGATATTGCTGTCATAGCTCCTTGCTCTGTTCCTTGCTACCTTAGGATTTTACATGTTCTCACCAGCTTCTATTATTGAATCTCTACAATCTAAAATAGATTAAATTGCAGAGAATGCAGAGATCTCTCAATTAGATCCAACTAGACTGCTCCTGAGTACATAATAGTTATAACATTTAACTTCTTGCTGTATATTGAACCGACTAAAAAAGTCTCACACTATTTGTTCTCTTTACAATCCTGATCCCCTGCATGTTATGATTTTTAACTGATTTGAAATGCTTTTGAATATACTCTGCTGTAATGTGTCCTTTGCTTTCCCACTCCAGTGCTTTATGCTGGCATAGGCACCTGTTATATTACCAAGGGTGTTAGATTGAACTCTGTTGCATGTTGGACTGAACAGTCAAATTTAGTCACCCTGCACACACTGTGTGCAACTGCTGTAACATTAAACTGAACTTAAGGCTATGGGAAATGGAGGCTGTTAGTACAATCTCTATCTCACTAACAGTGGTTCTAACCCTTCCTCACGTTGTCCAAAAATGTTTAAAAAAGTCTAGATATGTTATGAGACATAATATGATATTGGATATCTAAATCTGTTAAGAAATCTGTATTCTTTAACCTGTATGTTTGGTACTAAAGTAATTCAAGTTATTTTGTTTACCGCTACAAAACAACTAGATAGAACACAGCTAATATTAGCTAAAATGTGAATCACTTACCATGTCTCATTATTAAAAATAATGAATCCTCTGTTTCCACGGCCAAAAGCAATTTGATTTCCTCCATTGTCCCACCAGTTAGCGAAGGCTTGGCCATCAACTGTGTTACGGAATATTACCATGTTCCTGAAAGCCAAAGGAAGAAAATGCTGAAAAGGTGCACAGAAAGATAGTTCATGAATACATTTGCTGAGAAGAACATACATATATCACATTGAGTTGTCAGATGGAAAATTTAATTTCATAACTTCCACTAGCAAATGTATAACTGAAATGAAGTTGCTTTAAAAAAAACAACCTAATTTTCCTTCTTAACCACTTCGTCACGGAGCTTTTTTTTTTTCTTAATTTTTTGCAAACATGTTAATATTTGCATTTTTGGCTAGAAATGTATTTAAAACCCTAAAACATTATATAATTTCCGCATGTAGAGGTCCTGTGAAATAAAAAGATGGAAGTTACCATTTTTTATGTTGCACAGTATTTGCGCTGTTTATCAAATGTATACTTTCAATAAAAAATACACTAAAATAATTTTAGAGCAGTGCAGACAAACACAATATAATCCCCAAGTTTTATATATGCACAATAAAAAATGAGGTTGTGTGGAGATAATAGATATCAAATATATCAAAACTCAAAACTGCATGTGCCCGCAAAATGTTGAAAAATTGTTGTACACAAAATGATCAATGGATGGCACTTTAATTAGTTTTAGAGCTCATGAGTTTAGATTTAACTCTAAATGAGGAGCCTAGAATTATTTCTCTCACACTGGCATGCGTGGTTATCCAATATGTGTTGAACATTGGTCGTGAGCATTTTAACCTCTTCAGGCAGTACATATGATTAGGAAATACATCCAGAATCCTGAAGTGGTTAAACAAAACATTTTTATCTATAATGCCAGCAAAGCTCTGATCTGCACATAATCTAAATGTTATGAAGAATGAGTCAAATATAGCTAAAAATTTTATTTTTATTTACTTAATCTGACGCCATCTGTGCTCACAGACCCAATTATTTCCACAGGTTGTGTCGGCATTGATAGTAACTGCCTTAGTTGATCCATCAGAGTTGCTTGGGGGTCCAATCCAGTCGTTGACATCCTGGAGAAAGTAGAACGAACCAGTCAGGTGTAGTATAGAGGTATTTCAGTTTTTGTAATCCTGAAAATGTTCATTACCTTTCCATTGACAAAGTTTCTTGTCCAACGATAACTGGACATGACACGTGTGACACCATAGGGATGTGCCAACATGAAGCCAATTCCCATTTTGTACAGGCTGTTAAAATTAGAAATAGAACATGTTTATGCATATGAATATTAATTTTGTTTTATTTGTGTTTTTCTACAGTAAATCCTTACCGTGCGTCAAAGAAGGTAAGGATGGAAGAGCCTCCAGCACCGTGTCCTCTCTGGTTATCATGGTTGTCAACAAACACCAGTGCTCTGTTGTTAGGCATGAAACCCCATCCTTCACCCCAGTTCCTGTAGGATAAAATAGTGATAAGTAAATCTCTTTATGCAGTTCATGTTCCACACATGAGATCTGTCTGTACTCACTTCAGGTATGACATCTTTTCTCCGTTCCACTTGCGAATCACATTGCCAAGCTTGGCTCCATATTTGAACTCGGTCACACGGCCATTTCCATAGTATTCACCAGCTGAAATAGCTTCTCCACCCAAATCAATCACCTATCAGAAACACAAAAACATTATTAATGTGATGTGGTTACAAGTATTTTAAATGTAACCACTCGCTCCACATGTTTGACAGTTTTGTCATCGTAAGCCAGGGTTCAGGGAATTTTTTTCTTTTCAAAATAGAAATTAACAGACCAAACACTCTATTATTGTACCACATTTAGATACAAATGTAGACTGTTTTCAGACATCGTTTAATTAAATGTCACACTGCATACCCAGGTAAACTTGCTAAACATAACTGTTCTGGCAGAAAATCTAATTCTATGCCAAAACATATGGAAATATTTTCATTTAGTTTTATGCAGTAAAACAGATAATATGAAGATAAACATTTACTATTTGTGGTTCTATAGGTATGTAATTCATAGCTATATAAATACCAGTGGCTACAAATGAAATTATTCAGCATCTGAAGTGTCCATATGTATCAGTGACAGATTATAAATGATGTTCCTACGCCTAATGTCACAGTGGATAGATATCAGAATGCCTACATTTCTGCCTTTCTAGCACAGCAAGATTAAATGCCACCTTAATACAGATTCATTATCAAATCTCTTATTTTATTTTTCCCTCTGCAAAGCAGTTATCATGTATTTTAAACTGGCAATAGGCTTATCCTGTTGCTCTATGACATATATTATTATCCAGTTAAACAACAGCCACTGCCAAAATGTGTACCTCCTGGAAGATGAAAGGACGGGAGCCACCAGGGAACCATTGAGTGTTCAGATTGTTTAATCTGCCCAAGATGTTAGCGATGTCTCCAGGCCACATGTGTTTGGCGGCATCCAGTCTGAAGCCAGCAACACCAATGCTGATGAGGTTGTTTAGGAAGGCTGCAATCTTTCCACGTACGTAATCCTTCTCCATTGCCAAATCCAAAAGGCCCACAAGTCTGCAGTTTCTGACCTGTAGTAGTGGCATGAATGCAAAGTCATTTTAAATAACTGTTATCCTATCTGTTGGAATGAACATATTGGGGGTGATTTACTAACCTAAACACACGCACTAGGTGCGTGTGATTTTTACACAGCAAAACGTATTTATCAACCAAAAAGTCTCTAAAAGCATATTTCCACTAATGCCATATATGGAAAAATCATGCACATGATGCATATATAATGCTGCTTCACAGTTTAGACAAAAATGGTTAGCTCATGCATTTGCATTCCTGCATTCATCAACGCAAGCAACACAACATAGAGCTAATTTACACAACATCACCTTGCAAATTCATGCAGGGCTTTGCACAACACACCTGCTGGGTGTGTACACACTACAAAGGTGTTTAGATTCCACCCATAGATCATGCCGGGAGGGAACACACTACAGAGGTGTATACATGTTCGTGGTGTGTTTATAAGGTTAGTAAATCAACCCCATTAAATCTGTCATAAGAATGTCATAAGAATGTCATAAATATCCATGGAAATATAAACCATGAATCAAAGATGAGTGAGCTCATTTATTAACCACATAGGGCATGACTAGGGCAACATAAATCTATGTGTAGGCTATCGTCACACAAGCAATTTTTTAGTTAGATTCTTTTTTTTAGCCTCTACAAAGTTTAGAATATGTCTGTGTAATAGACATCACTGCTGGGACTGCATTAGAGTAGTAGTTATAAATATGAAGGTTTTTTTTTTTAGTAATTTCAAAATGGTGCAAAAGTGTATTGTTCTATTACCAAGCAACACAATTGCTACAATCTCTATTCAAACCTATGTCATTCTCCCTCTGACTGCTGTATTTTCTTCATATTACATATGCTTATAAAACAATTTGTAGCTACCACATATTGCTGAAATTATAGTTATGGGACTTAACCTTTACAATATGAGGGAAAACACAGTATTGTACCTGGTTAACATCGCCATAGTTCTGGATTTCACCATTATTAGTATTGCACTTGGCATCATTGAAATCCAGGTTTGAATAAGGTACTGCAGAGAATTCTTTGGTTCCAGCATTGAAATAGCTTCCACAAGTAGAGTGTGTTCCTGCACCACCACCTGATCCACACATGTGGTTAATGATGGCATCAACATAAATATATACCTAAATGGCAAAGAAAGTTCAGTTATAATTATCATGCTATATCTTATTTTTTTAATAAATCAGCATTTTCCAATATTACATATGAATGTATTTGAATTAAGAAAGGCATGCCACAATTGTACTGAACTGTGTTAATTGGGCTTATTTTTTTTAATTATGCTGAACAGAGCCATATTACATTTGATTATCTTTATTTAAATAACCCCAAAATTAAAAATCTTTATTTATATTTTATAATATTGGCTTTTTACGACAATCTTAAGGCACTTCTGGGTAAATATTACATCAGATTTTAGAGGGGGAGATTAGAGTAAGAAGATGCCGTTGCTCAGCTAGCATTTGTTTTCCTGCAGTCCTGTTTGGAGGTATATATATTTATATGGTCTCTCTTTCTAAAGCCTGCTGCCACTAATAGTGCATTTTTAATTTAGATCTCATGATAATAATCACGTTACCCATCATAGACAGGAAAAACAATGGCATTCTCATGAACATGTGCCTCGCTAAAGCAGTATGGTCAGTATATGCAGCCCTGTATAAAGATGCTTAAAGCATACTAAGCTATTCAAATGAATACCTGGCCCCGTGCATTTTACAACAACGCTACCAAGTCACACTAGAGTCAGTTTGACCAGAAGAGTGTGATTTAGGATTGTGGCTAGGGTTGCACAGATACTTTTCGAGTACCAGTGCAGATACTTGGCATTTTCATGAGAACTACCAGGGTTGCAGCTGGGACCTGGCTCTGGCACTCCACCACTGTCCTGAAATCATTAGTCTGTATTGTTTTAGAAAAACTGTCACATGACAATAAACAAAAATATATCAGTACTCGTACTTGTAAGTACTCGGCAAGTACCATTACTCGTACTCGCAAAACTGGTGTCTGTGCATCCCTTTATTTATATTTATAAAAACAAAATCGTACATTAAAACAGAGATGTACAAATCCCAGGAGCTCCGTATGATCCTTACAAATGACAGCTGCCTCCTAATTTTTGAATTTTTCTCTAGTGTAGTCTTGGAGCTCAAAAGTATTGGTACATGTACTCATACTTGTACTGAGTACTGTACTTGGTATCTGTGCAACCCTAATTGTGGCAATCTAGGAAAACCCAAACTGGGAAATCATACAAACAGTAAGTACAAAGGGAATCAATAAGTGTCAAACACATGACCCTAAAGCTGGAACACAGCTAAGATAAAGAAAGTAAGAGGGGTTTTGAAAGACTTCTATTATGGACAACATATGATCGTCCTTTCAACAGAAAAGGCACTTGTTAAGTGACTAAAAGGATTTAATCTATTTGGTCCCCATTAAACAGGGTCAACTTTTGCATTTGCAAGAAAAAACAAATTAATCTCCAGCATTGTGAAGGTTCTTGACTGCAAAGAAAGCAATAGATGAGCAGGTAATCAGTGGTAGGAAATAAAACATCTACTCAATCATGCTTTATCACAAAAGCAGTTATGAGATTTAATCTATTGGTGTCCTGTATGTCTGGGAACCCACACATCTAAAAGATCAATACATTTCTAGAGCAGGAAGAGTGATTCTTCAATGATTGCACCACTTTTCCAATATTTTATTTTTAAACAACAAAAAGCACTTCTGTCTTTTGTTTGAGCATTATTGCTCATATGGTTACCTGAACACAGTTATAGCAGGAAATGTCTGGCTTGTTTACAGCCTTGTGTCAATAGAGTAATCATGGGCATACATTTGACAATGTTATATTATGTATTTCTATAAACATATTCAACATGAAGGCTAAACTATGTAAGTGGTTTTTAACCTCTAAAGTCTCTTTTGCAATATGTCGATTTATGTAAAAAAAAAAACCTGAGAATCACTGCAGAATTATTACCAATATCCATAAACATATTTGATTGCACATTAATTTAGCTAGATGTCAGTGTACCAGGATGTTTTTCCTTCAAACAGAAGGCTCAAAAAGAGTTCAGAAAAAAGGAATATATTTGGTAGCTATGTCTTTGTAAACTATGCAAATATGTAAATGTTTAATACTGGCATTTAAAAACATGACACAGTATAGAATGCGTAAGTAATAAATAGAAGTTTATACCCCAACATTGTTACATCTGGTCACCATGTCTCTGAACTGAGCCTCACTACCGGACCTGGAGCAGAGCTTGTAGCTGACTGGCTGGTATCTCTCATACCAAGGTCTCCAGGGATTGTTAACAATTATATTTTCATTTGGTGGGGAGACCTGTAGAAAAATATTGAATACAGTCATCAAATGTGATTTCTTTAAACATTTACTAGCAAACAGACAATACATATATGCATGATTTATTTCTAATTTCCTCTAGTCATTTAATATTTTTTTTCCCCAGAACACAAATCTTGAAGCGAGGAAACATAGGCCCTACACATCAGACACCATAAGTTAACATTAACTGGTCCTGTTATTTGCATATAATTTTAGGAGGGATGCCTACAAGGCTGCACACCCCCGGATATTTACCCCAAGTCTATCAATTAAAATGATATCCCATACATCTGTTTTTATGTAATATAGCAAAATAGTAAAGATGAAAGTGAACATTTGTGTGTTACTTTACTTTCAACGCTATACTTTGAGGCATGTAGAGGAAAAATAATAGTTTGCATAAATTATTAGCATAACATTTAGGTAAGATAAAGTTGGGTTGGCGAGGGCACAAATCGGCATAACAATCGTTCTCCTGTGGCCCAATGCTATTAATGCTGAGTCACGCAGCAGCCAGGAAGGATATTGCTGGGATCACCCTGGCTGCCTAAAGTAGAGTATACATGCAGTGAATTTCTTCCGGTTCTTGATGAATTGGCCAAAATCTGCTGCATGAGCAGGGGCATCACAAGAGGGGTGCAGGGGGTGCGGCCCGCACCTGGGTGACACCCCTGGAGAGGTGACACCAACATGACTGACAGTCTTTTTGGTTTCACCCCCTCTAAAAAAGTCGGGCACTCAGTCATGAACCAAGAGCCCGAAAGTGTCAGGAGAGAGGAGGGGACCTGGCGACATACCTCATATCCCCTTTACAAAACACTGGTACAGCCTCATCTTGAGTATGCAGTACAGGAATGGTCACCAAACCATAGGAAAGTTGTCCTTAAACTAGCAAAGGGCAACACAATTAATGGGGAGCCAGGTAGCTTCAGCTATGAGGAACGATTACAAAAATTACACTTTTTCACTCTGTATAAATTTTTGAAAAGTAAATATGGTAACGGTAATTAACTGTTCAGTCTTAGGAAGAAGACATACAGCCAAAATTTGAGATTGGACAAAAGAGGTTTAAAGGAGAACTATGAGGTGAGTGATTTTCACTCACCTCATAGTTTGAGCCGACCTGTGACAATTAAACTGTCACACGTTGACTCAATAGGGGGCAAAGTGAGTGAACGCATACTGCCGCTCGCTCACTTCTCGATCCTGTCCCTGCAGAGAGATTCGTGACTGGCACTCACGGCTCCCTGCAGGGATTCCCCCCCTCCCCGCTCCGATCCTCCAGCGCTGACTGGAGGATTGAACGGGGGAGGGGGCGGGTACAGCTGGCTCTGCCTCTAGATAGGCAGAGCCAGCTGTCAATCATGCAGCTGGGTGGATCTCTACAGTAATGTCGGGATTCGTCGCGGCTGCGCCGGTCACGGGAGGACGCTAGTTTATGTCCTCCCGTGACCATGAGGAGAACTATGGGGGAAAATCTAATACGTTAGATAAGCATGTACATAGAGATTAACATTGCACTACAGCGCCATCTACAGCTCAAAAGACATATTATAGTATATGCTGTTGCATTTCCAACACTTACCTGTATACCACCGAATCCATTGGGAGCCAAATGTATCTCACATTCTGCAGCAATATCTACCCAAATGCACGTATACACTGCTCTTATACATGCTGACCCCCATCTGAACAAGGCCTTCGATAGACAGAGAGGCTGATCAGGATGTACTTACTGCTGGTTATGTGTTTAGATGAAGCACTGAGATCCTGAGGAATGCTGAATTAAGTTAGATAAGCATGCACATAGAGATTAACATTGCAATACAGTGCCAGCTCCCGCTCAAAAAACATATAGTATATGCTGCTGTATTTCCAACACTTACCTGTATACCACCAAATCCATTGGGACCCAAATATCTCTCACATTCTGCAGCAATATCTACCCAGCGCCATTCAAACAAGTGGACCATAGATGTCCTGCCAGCCCTGAAGTTTGTGTTGTATTGGGCAGAGCAAAACCCCACAAACACCAAAAGTATTAGGAGCTTCATCTTGGATTCTACAGTAGCTAGGCTTCTCTTTTTTCCTATTTATAATCTGCGGTTATCTACAGCCTGACGTATCAAGAACACCTGTCAAAACACCCCCAAGGATTGCAGGTGAGTATATACAAAAATTTCTCACTGTTGCATAAAAGTCCTTGATGTTTGAACGTGCTGTTACCTTGAAGATGCTTGCCTATTATAGATGTGTTAAGCACCAAATCATTCATTCTACATTTTAGATACAAGGACGCACGTATATACTTACTTATATAATGGTGTGATGGGGTTCATGCATTAATATGTTTCTTGCCCTATTACCAACATTGTTTTATAACATTTATTATGTTTTCTATGATTAAAATGTCCCACAGTGCTCCTAAGGGCTTGTTCACACCAAATCCGGACCAGATCTGCATGAGTTTCTGCACATGCAGTGCAGTTCATTTTGCCAAAATTTTTGCCTCGTTTCTGGGCCATTTAAAAGAAAAAAATTATATTTTTTAGCCTAAAATGGGCTTTAAATGCGTTCCAGGGTGTTTGCATGCATTTTTGAAGCATTTACATAGGTTTTGGTGCGTTCCAGAGCATAAAAATATAGGGCATGCTGCAGCTCCATTGGAATAAATCGGATGCATTTTTGATGCGTTCTGTAAGCGCTCTGCACTTGATGTGAACTAGCCTTAAGGGCAGGTTCACACCAGAAAGTCTGTGTTCCAGGGCATTCAGCCTCTGGAACGTAAGCTGGCTGGCTTCCTGCGTTCAGGGGCGGGAAAGAGCGTGGCGGTGCACTGAAGTCAATTGCACCACAGCCACGCCCCCTGCCCGCAGTGTGATCATCCACACCCGGAATGCAGGCACATTAGTGCCTGCGATCCCGTCCAGTGCGGTCTGCAAAAATACTGCAAGCACTATTTTTGCAGATCACACTGGAAAGGAACGCAGGCAGTAATGTTTCCATGAGGGAGGCCCGGAACAACACCACGTGAGCCCTCAACCTTATCGACTCAGCCCCATCAAGGACTTCTCCTAGTTTTGTTTTATCTACCGACTTGAAGAAGGCCTTCGATAGGGTCGACTGGTCATTTATGCGCCTTACCTTGAAACACATTGGCCTTAGCCCATATATGCTATCCTGCATCTTAGCCTTGTATTCCACTCCTACAGCTAGGGTCAGTCTCAATGGTGTCCTGTCTGCTCCCTTTTTCAATTTCGAACGGGACAAGACAGGGCTGTCCGCTTTTTTCACTCATTTTCATCTTGATGCTTGAGCTTCTACTTCACACTTCGAGGTGGATCAGCAACAACACAAAGTTCCTGCCTAAGTGGAGCCTTAGGATTCTGGCGGTCTGGCCCTCCCTGATGTATTCTTTTACTAGACAGCCTCTCACTTATCTCGATTTCTAGAATAGTGCCGTCATGAGAGTTTTAAGTCTTGCATCTCTCTAAAACCGCCTTTCGCTTCAATTCCTCAATCAACCTTACCTTGGTGTGAGTGCTCCATGCCCACGGTGCTTAAGTCCATCTCTACATTCCCTGTTTCCAATAATAGGTAACTTTGAGTTCTCCCCACGCCTACAACATGCAACATTCTATGTGAGAACAGTACGTTTCAAACATTACACTTCCTGCGTGGAAGTATCTCCTCCGACTCAGACCTTGGTACTCTTGGATTCTGGAGGCATCTCCAACTCTCACATTTCCTTCCCTTGCTCCAGACACCATCCTCATTTGCCAGATCACTCTCCCTAATTGTACAAGCATGTTCTGACTGTCTCATCGTCAAATCACCAACTTTTTGCCATTATGTTGTCAGACTTGGACATCCAGATCTAACTCCCCCTATTAAGGAAGAGCAGTGGAGCTTCCACTTCTCTCCCGCAGAACGTACCAAATTTCTCCAACTATACCTTAAAGTTATCTATCTGCAATAAGTACCAGAAGTCGGGGTATAAAATTTGAACAAGATGGTATAGAACCCCCTATAGATTTAATCAGATCTACCCTGACTCCCCAGATGTCTGTTGGTAATGTAATTCCTCCCCTGCGGACATGTTACACATTTTCTGGAACTGCCCGATACGGTCAACCTTCTGGTCACAGGTGAGACACATATCTCAAAAATATATGGATCATTCGATCCCCGCTGATCCTGCCTTTTTTCTACTTCACCATAACACATTCTCACTCACAGGCTATAGATGATGTGGAAGCAGATGTTGCCCCCTACTATCAGGCTTTGTTTTTCCAAAAGTAATGATATTAAACACACGCAGGTCCTCACTAGCCTCCTTAAGGACTCTTCAGCTTGGTTTTCATCCACTTGGTTGTATTGGATCGACTCTACAGAGGAATAGAAGCTGATGATGGACTCCTCAGTGGTTTCATTTTTTATCCTTCCCCCTTGGTCCCACCCCCTCCTTTTAT